CTAAAACTTCTTCATTCAGAAGCCTAAATAAGATAAAACCAAAAAAACGAAGACTAATTAAGGGAAAATTGATTATTTAGAAAAAAAAAGAAAAATCACCAAAATAAACTTGACCAAATTTGAAGTGTGGTGATGTTCTACAAACTAATGATGTTAATTCGTCAAAAAAATAATATAATGCAATCATTTTATTATATGGTTTAATTACTTTGCTTCACATTTTTGGATTAAAATTAAAACACATAATTTGAAATAGATTTGACAACGTTTCCAAACTTCGTTTTTAAATAATGACATAAAAAATGCCCGAAGACAAAGAAACAGCGTCTTGTCAGAACCACACTTCAAAAGTGTTTTGTGTATACTTTCACATCTCAATAACAAGAGCATGATTTCCAAAAGAAATTTGAGAAGTGTTCTAAAACAAAATTTGTAAATCTTGGTGTTTTTTTTTTTTTTTTTTTTTATACTTTAAATGCAAAACAAATTTATTAAACCAAGTGATAAAACAAGGGCTGATTGTAGTTGTCACCCTATATTATAAGCGCTCAACTAGGATCATCATGTACTTTCGTCCTCTTCCCAATTCAACCTATACTAACTAAAAATTTCTTAATTTCACCTAATTTTCAAATTTTTACTCATTTCACCAAATTCAATTAATCTACTCAATTGCGTTTTAAAATCATAATTTCGCATTCACTGTACCGCGATAAAAGCTAAATCGAGTTTAAATTAGTTGACCCAACTACAGTGCTATAACCCGAATTGAAACCCGAAAGTTGTCGTATAGCATATTATGATCCATTCATGCCTCATCTCTTGAGGCCTTTGAGCAGTTGAGCTATAGTACATGTACCGCTAGTTAGATATTTTCTGTCTAATCATGAAATTGCCCCACATCTTTCCGCATTTTCGAAGTTGCCTCACATCTTTCGGAGTTTTCAAAATTACCCCACATCTTTGAATATTTTCTGAATTGCCCCACATATTTTGGTGTTTTCGGAAATGCTCCACATCATTGTGTAATTATGAAGTTTCACACATCTTTTGCTATTTACTAGGTTGCCCTAAATCTTTGGCATAATGTTTTCTATTTAATTTGAATTTCGTTTTTATTTATTTATGGCAAAATCTAAAAAATTATAATAAAGATTAGACAATTATTTAAATGGAGTTAAAAAAACTTTTGAGAGAGACATGTCAACATGACAATTTCGTTACTAACAAGTGAGGATAAGGTTTTTTTTTAATAGTGTTTCTCAATAAATATATAAGGGATAATTTTAAAAAATATAATTATAATTCCAAAAATCTTTCCTCACACTTCAATAGAGACAATAGAGACAAAAATCAATTTCATCTTTTTTTTTTTACTTTTACTAAAACTATCCATAAAACTACAAAAAAAAAACTAACAAAAATACTAATAATTTTGTGAATTTTATCGTAATATATATAGTAGGTGGCTACTTTATATATTTAACACAATAAATAAACGATATCTTATTATCAAAAACTGATAACGACTACATCAAAGTTCATGGAATTTTCCATGTGCTCAATTAATTCTCGTCCTTTTTCTATAGTGACATTACAATTAATCTTCGACGTCCGTCAAAAAATCAGTATACTAGCCAGACTAAAAATATGGGACGGCATTATTCACGAGTACTAGAATTAGCGACCACAACTTTTTCTCTGTTGGTCGATGTGTTATTATGAGGATGTACAACGTTATTTCATTTTCGGAAATGTTACCCCACTATCTTTATCACGCAATGGTTTTAAAATATGGAGACATTTTTATGAAACAACACATATTCATCTCTTCTTTGTTCATCATTTAGTTTGAGTTTCAACTATGGAACTTAACAGTGATTCGATATTTTCTCCTGCGATTCCCTCTGAAATTCATGGAGTCAAGCTCTTGAGACAAACTTCTGATGTCAAGCTTGCTGAACTCGGGGTTACCTCTTGGCCTTTGTCGGTTTTCTTTCCTATACTTTTTTTATTTTTTTATGTTACATTTCGATGGCATATATTTACTAGTTTTTTTTTATCATTTAACGCTTGAAATTAAATACAACGAAATTAACATGGGAAACCAATTGCTTTACTATTCCCACAAAATTCGAGAGTCGTGCATGTAATGTTTATTTAACATGGCAAGTCACATCATTTTCTATTAGTTTAGGATTTCATGATTTTCAACTTTTTTATAACCGTTAGATTTAGATCATAGTTTCGACATACCCGGAAGAATCAGTATTCTTCTCATTTGAATCCTTAGGGGGTAATAATGATGAAAATAATAATTAGAACATTCCAACAACATCTTGACTTCCCGCAATAATCTTTTGACATTCATTTAGTTAAATTTAATTATAACAAGAAAACATGTGGAATTTGGATCGATTTCTTTTATGAATTCATCTGTTAGAATTTTTTTTTTTTTTTTGGCAATTTTCGATGCACGAAAAAATCATCTATAAAGGCCGTCGGAAAATTTTGAAAAAACAAATTTTCGACGGGTTGCTGATGGATTGTGATCCGTCAGAGAGCCACATCGAAATATTTTAGCCGACCCTTTTGTTGGAAAGAGTCATGGGGAAAACTTGTAAATGTTTTCCATAGATTAAATGAAACCACCAAAATCGATTAAGTATGGAATTGTGTTAAGTCCTTACAAAAAAAGAAAATAATCAAAGAAAGATATATATATGCTTTTGTTTTGTGGTGGTTCGAAAGCCTAGCTATGTGCTCGATTGGTTTGAAGTCATGAGTCATATGTACATGTATGGTTGACTAACATGTGAGATCAAACTTGAGCAGATGGGAAAGCATTCCACGCAAATTTTCATGGAAATTTAAGAAGACAGAAACGATGTACTTTGTCGAGGGGAAGATGAAAGTGAGAGTTGAAGAGCATCACAAAGAAGGAGAAGCCTTAGAACTAATGGCAGGAGATTTGGTTGTGTTTCCTAAAGACATGAAAGTTTTTGTGGATGTAACTGAAGATGTGAAGAAACGTTATTTTAGAGAGTCAGAGATTGAAGAATCTGAATTACCTTAAAAAGCAGGCCCAACTCTATGGTAAGGCAAATGAAGCATTAAAGCTCCTTTGTTGTTTCACAATAAGCTGAAATGGTAATTTATATTCACCTTTCCGAGTTCGAAACTTATTATTTAGAAGTTAGAACAGCTTCTTTCTTTTCTTTACCTCACTTTATTTTGTTTTATATTATATGTGTGATCCTCATTATTATTAATTATTCTACCGTGTACTTTTTTTTCTCCCTCCTTAACATTCTCAATTGTTTTAATTACTTTCTTAACAATACTACCGGATTTGATGTGTGTGTTCTTGTTGTATTATTGCTTGTTTAAATTGTTTTACGTATTGAGGTCTTTACTGAAGTACCTATATATACTATACAAGAAAAGTGCTCAATATCTTACGGCCGATATCGTAGGAAGACGGTAGGAAACTGGCAATTCCTACCGATTTCCTACGGTTTCCGTTCATAGAAAATGTCATGTAAGAAAATAATATTGCAAATGATCTTGGTAGCGAGTGACTACCTAGAAAATGTGATTAGTATAGTGTGTGGGTTTAGACTAGTAGTTTGTTGAGCGATTTCTTCCGAAACCTTTTTATGGTTTTATACTGTGTGGGTTTAGATATTCTTAGTAGTCTTCAAACATTAGTCTCTCTCCTTTTTAACTCTTTCTTATTCTTTTTTTCTCCATCTGAAATATCTTATAGAACTTCTGGAATGATACAATACCAGTGGTACGAAATAGCCCTAGTAACTGAAGTCCGCAGACAACAACATATCTCCGAAAGCCAAGTCCGATGGACGGAAAACTGATGATCAAACTGACAACAGAAAACAGATGGGAAACAATACCCGAAACTAGAGCAAGATTAATAACAATTTAATTCTGAAATTAAGCACCAACTCCACTTCTACGAATCAACCTTATCACAGAAATGCCTTAACTCTTTGTTATTCTTATTCCTAAGAAGGGGTTAAAAATTACGTAAATTATTGTCATCCACAAGTGCAATATTAAGATCAACTTGCTCATTTTATTTCCTTCACGTACATGATAATATATAGAATAATTTAGGGCAGGGCAACATCATATCGTGGTCCGTGGAAGTCATGTCTCTAACACCATGAGCTTAAATATAAATGCGTACTTGTGTTTTCTAATCTGTATTTTGTTCTCTGTCTTTTCCCACTATACTTTGGAGATTAGTATTCCATCATAATCGGATGCTACATTCCTCAGCCACTTCATGGTCTCTTCATTTAAAGCCACCAAACTATGCAACATCTACAGTTTCATTATTATCCAATTCTATTTATGGAATATTATGTCAATATCACTTGTATTTTCAATTATACTTTTCGATAGTAAAAACTATATATGTTGTATTGAACTTCGAATGACTTTGATATTAAATCGGATGATTCCTCTGTTTCCACTAAAGCTAAAACTTCATTCAGAAGCTTAAATAAAATAAAACCAAAAAATTCGGAGAAAACTGAAAATAGGAAAAAAAAAAAAAAATCTAAATAAACTTGACCAAATTTAAAGATTTTTGTTTTAGAAAAATTTGAAAATGCAAAACAGATTTATTAAAACAAGTGATAAAACAAATTTATTCACACTTTAAAATTTCAGATTTGTTTACATGAAATAAAACCGAATTAGATTGGATATTTTTTTGCAATTTCCCCATTAGTCAATAACCGGTTTTGCAATTGAACCTAATGAACATATTGCATTTTTCGTCTGCTACCACTGTTATTTGGTAAAGTGAGTTCTAACTCTCTCCAAAACAGGAAGGAGACATTGAGCATATTTTTGTGGGTAACATTTTCCAAGAAAGTGGTTCTTAAGTGTATTGATAATTTGATATGAGAAAAGTCAAGCTTAAATCAGCTAGATTCATACTGAATAAGTCTATCGAAGTCATCAAATCTTTGAATTTCAATCCTTAATTTGAATGATGATGATTGAGCTGGAAGCGCAAGCAGCGAAACAATACACTACGCGAAATTTTCTTAGATATCGAAGCAAACAGATCCCAAAAGCAGATTGATATAAATGATAGACACAAATAAGTATCCAACATACAAAGATGGTCAACTCCTATCGAATACACGAATATGTAGAGCAGAGATGAGAGATTGATATCCATTTACTCGAATTGGTAATGTTTATCAACAGCAACAGAGACATCCCAAGTGCAACTCATTCCTTTAGGGAAAACAACAAAGTCGCCTGCTTCGATTTCTACGCCTTCATCGGATCCATTAGGGTACACTTTCACTTTCCCCTCTAGCAAAAAACAAGTCTCCTTTGCACTGTAAGTCCATGGAAACTTGCTTGGAGGACAACCCCACCTGTACCATCATTTGACCAACAAAGTAAGAAAATCTGCATCATAATCGGATGTTACTTCATGTTCTCTTCATTCAAAAACCACCAAACTATGCAACATCTAAAGTTTCATCAGTATCCAATTCTATTAATGGAATATTACGTGAATATCACTTTTGTTATCAATTATAATTTTCGACAGTAAAAACTCTATATATGGTGTATTGAACTTCGAATGACTTTGATATTAGATGCGATAATGCGTCCATGACTTCTCTGTTTCCACTAAAGCTAAAACTTCATTCAGAAGCTTAAATAAAATAATACAAAAAAAAAACGAAGACTAAATTTAAAGTGTGATGTTAATTAGAGTCTCTACAAGCTAATGATGTTAATTAGTCGATAAAAATAAATTTGCTTCTCATGTTTGGATTAAAAACACATAATTAGAAAAAGATTTGACAACGTTTCCAAACTTCATTTTTAAATAATGACATAAAAATGTTCAAATACAAAGCAACTACGTCTTATTTAGAACCACACTTCAAAAGTGTTTTGTGTATGCTTTCACATCTCAATATCAAGAACATGATTTACAAAATGAAATTTCAGAAGCGATGCCACATTCTAAAACAAAATTTTGTAAATCTTGGTGTTTTTTTTTTTTTTTTTTGATAACTTAAAATGCAAAACAAATTTATTAAACCAATATGTTTTATTATCTAATTAAAGATTTAAAATCGTTATCTTCTAGATGTTTTTATTTGATACGTAAAAATTGGTTGGGTTTTTTTCTTTTTTAATTTTTCATTGGAATAAGTTGGGTTCTAAATCACACTTTAAATTTTCAGATTTGTATATACATGAAACCGAAATAGATTGGGTAAAGTGAGTTCTAATCCCTTATATATTAATTGAGAAGCATTATTAAAAAATAACCTTACTTTTACGTGTGATTAACGAAAATGCCATGCTGACGTGTCGCGGTTACAGAGCTCCTCAAGTCATTTAATTAATTTTCCATCCTATACTAGAATATTTACATCAATTTGCCGTTGGTATTAATAACACTTATTTTACTCATTCATTAATCAAAAATTAAAATTATGAAATGCACTTAACGTGGGCACTTAACATGTTCTTATTTCAACCAATTAATTAAAACGAAATTATATTTAATATTTGCAATTAAGAGTTACTAATCTTTAGAAGATGAAGCACCTAACATTTTTTGTATTGATTAACTTTACAACTATACATGTTTATATCATATATACACGTTGCATTTAAAAGGATGAATCAATTTAAAAAGATTAAAATCCACAAAATATCTAAAATATGGAATCTAACAATATTTGATAATTGATTGGTAATTCAAATTCTTCCACCGATTATGGTACTTGCTAACTATAAGTTAATAACCGAATTTATAATTACCTCAAAACTTTCATATATGGACTTATATAATTTTACCATGCACCTAACAAAAGAATATTGAGATATATTAGTTGACTTATTCAAAAAAAAAAAATCCTAACAAAAGATATATAAATATTAAAAAATTATGATTTAGAAAATATAAATATAAAAGAATAAATTTTGGAGATACTTTAAATGAAATATTGATTTTAAAACTTTAAGGATGTAGAAAATGTAAGAATGATATTGTGAAATTAATGGAACCCATGTTACTCGCTCGATCTTTTAGTTTTATTTAGTTGATCAATATTAAGGCTTTTTTTTTCAAGAGTCTACATGTAATCATATAATGAGGCATTTTAGTTTTGATGTTTTGTGAATGTAGTCAAAACATAAAATATATTTAATTATTAAAAACACAAAAAGATATATGTGCCATGAATGATAATATTTCATCAATACTTTCTCCACATAGAAGTTTTTTACCACGTTCAAATATTTTACGGGTGAAAACAAATTCATATACAAAATATTTGCAAATTTGAATAGAACAAAAAACTTTACTATATGTTTCGTTTTATACAAACGTATCTTGGATCTCATTAATAATTTTACCTATTATAATTTTACTTGAATCGTTTCATCCCGCACATAGTGCGGGTTTTTATCTAGTTGTTCACGAAATAAGAAGACATTGAGAATATTTTTCTGGCTAATATTCTCCAAGAAAATGGTTTACGTGGATTGATAAGTCGTCAAATCTTTCACTTTCTCAAGTAATTATTCTCTGATAATATGTCATTTTAAAAGTCTTAACTCAATAGTAGAATCGAACCAAATTCCTCAAGAGCAGTCACATACCAATACAGGAAGATTGAGCAGGAAGCCCGAGCAACGAGACTATAAACTACGCGGAATTTTCTTAGATATAGCAAACAGATCACAGAAACGCATAGACTGATGATCAATGACCGACAAAGATGGTCAAGTCCTATCGAATACACGAATATGTAGAGCAGAGATTGATATCCATTCACTCGAATTGGTAATGTTTATCAACAGCAACAGAGACATCCCAAGTGCAGCTCATTCCTTTAGGGAAAACAACAAAGTCGCCTGCTTCAATCTCTACGCCTTCATCGGAACCATCAGGGTACACTTTCACTTTGCCTTCTAGCAGATAACAAGTCTCCTTTGCACTATAAGTCCATGGAAACTTGCTTGGAGGACAACCCCACCTATGTCATCAATTTCACCCACAAAGTAAGAAAATTCTGCATCAATTGCTTATAGCACATGCCATAAAAAAATCAACTTGAGCTATCTAGCTTCTACATATGACATTATCATAAAGACGAATTCGACGAAAGAAATTTCTTCTCCGGGCAAGAAACAAACTTTCAATATCAATTGGTTCAATTGATGTAAAGATTGTCCAATATACTTACAAAAACAGAAACTAGAGCAATTGCAGATGACTTATACAGTAGCAACAACAACAAACAAACAAAGCTTAAGGCTTTATTCTAGTAAGAAAAAAAGGTGAAACTTTCAACTGCAGAAGGATCAATTGATGTAAAAATTTGTCGAATTTAACCACAAAGATATGAACTTGAGCAATTGAAAAGAACTAATGCCATGAAACTTGCTTGGAGGACAACCTCACATATAACATCATTTGACCCACAAAGTAAGCAAAACTGCAGCAATTGCAAATTACTTATGCCATGAAAATCGACAATGAGAAGCTGCAGCTCTCTGGCTTCTACAGACTGAATTCGACAACACAACAACAACAACAACAACAACAACAACAACAACAAGAAAAAGGTAAAGGCTTTCTTCTCCGGGCAACGAAAAAGGTTCAAACTTTCAATTAGGAGATGGATCAATTGAGGCAAAGATAGTCTAATTTATACATAATAAGAGAAACTAGATCAGTTGGAGATTCCTTATGGCTTCAACAAACAAAAGCTAAAGACTTTCTTCTCCGGGCAACAAAAGCTACAGAAGGGCAAGTAAAGTAACGTACTTGGGCCAATTACGAACACCAAGTTGGGTGAGTTTGGACTCAGGTGGGTTCTTCTCAATTGTAATCCCTAATTTCTCGGTAGCTACTGACTCAGCTCTAATCGCAGCAGCCATGGATGATGGTCTTCTTGAATTGTAGGGTTTGTTTGGTGTTCTTGTGAGATATGGATTGATGCTTGTTAAATTCACAACACCGATGCAGCCCATTATTGATTTCCCTTAAATTTAATTGTTTTCAGATTTTCACAAAGTCACAAAGAACTGCAATCGAAAACTCTATTTTTATTTTGTTTAATTTTCTTTTCTGTCCAATCACAAGTATAACATATGAACCATTCATGCCTCATCTCTTCAGCGAGTTAGATATTTTCTTATATAATTATCCTTTTTTCACATTGGTAGAAATAAATATTTTATTATATGTTGGATAAATAATTAAATATAAAAATAGAGAAACTTTTATATCAGAAAAGATCTAGATACTGAATAATAAGAAGAAACGGTTATTATTTCTCTTGTAATTAAATTTATGAATTGTGAATTAATTATATATAAATTAAAAAAATAAATTACTATACATGCATTGTGATAGCGAGCTCTACATAAAATAATAATAATATTTAACGTATGATATGAAATATAGTAGACATGTGTTAGCAGTTACTATTTAATTTATATTTGTGCGACCAATCTATGAATTCGTCTATGTATATTTTTAACGCTTTCATGTAGATTTAAGTTTTTTTTTTTTTAAAGTCATGTGTGGATTTAAGTTAGTTGTATTATTTTTGTTAATTTTATGCTAATAATATAAGATGTACTTACCACTTTGATGACGATATATAGTTTGCATAGTTTTAGACTATTTAGTTGTTTAAAACATGTAGATGCACTAATTGACGCAAGCTTCAATTGGTAACCTAGCCGACGTTCTACTGACTAGATGGTCGCTGAGACCTGGTAGAATTAGGGTCTATTGCAATTGCTTGTCATTGTTGGATTGGTCACGTCAATATACATAATTTCCTTTTCTTCTCATCTTTAATCTCTCTTATCATCAAGCCATATTACGTTCTATCTTTTGGATTAACTTCATACGATCTCTCTCAGTCCGCTACATTTTTGTTCATACGCTACATTTTTGTTCTTTTCCTACGCTACATCTTACAATTTTTTTTCATACACTACATTTGAAATTTCCTTTTTCCTATTGAATATGTAGAAGATAATCTTATTATATAAAGTATGGTTTTCAAAATTAGTAACTCGCATGATCGTGACACGTGTCAAGTCTATCGATCAGATGTTGACAGGTGTCAAAAAATATTTAGCTTTTTTCATTAAACAAATAGGAAAACTAAAAAAAAGAATATTTACATATACTAATTTATATATCTAATTTCTAAAATTTGTTAACTTTATTTTTCTTAACCAAAAAGAAAAAACTAACAATTTCTCTTTACATGTGTTATTGGTCAATTAGATTTGGCATGTGTTAATTGTGTTTTTTTTTTAATCATTTAGTATGGATATTAACAAATAAACAATAACCGTTAAAGTTTTAAATAACAATATAAGTTATTTAACATCAATTTAATTGGATAAAATTGTATTTATCATCGTAATATAATGTTTTTATTCGTCAAATGAAAACACAAAATTTTTACAAAAATAATGAGCTTATAAGAACGAACGAATATATGAATATTTGATAATTATACTTATATTTTATTTTAAGAATTTTAACGCATGTACTCATAATTATAAACACAAAATATTTGGAAAATGGGCTTATATGAATGAACTTTCGATTACTTAATGAGAATGTTAATATATATTCGATTAACTCATTTAAAATTAGTTTGCCATGAGGTAAAACTAACTTATGAGATTACGTTATATAGAAAAACTAGATTTTAAACAATGTTTGTTTTCCATAAATTTTGTGGATTTCTATTTTTTGTTAAATGTTTCGTTATTTGTTAATTAGATTTAATATTAACTAAGGTATAGATTTGAAATGGTATACATACGATTTTGATACAAAATTATTATTAGCATTTTATCCATTAAGATGAACTATGAAGACTTAAAATCAAGTTTATTATGATGCTATAGATAGTTAAATTATATTGCAAAATGGAATGTGTAAGATTGAAATTTCGTTTTAAAAAAAAATACTAAATTAAATATATAAAAAGCGTGTTGGTTACTATTTAGGATTTAAATATCATCAATACGAAAGTATGTGTAGAATTAAAATTCGATAAAATAAATAGTTAAAATGTATAGAAAAATGAAATGTGTATGATTTAATTTTTGTTTAAAACAAAAAATACTAAATTATTAAATATTAAGGAAAGTGAATGGATTACTATTTATTATTCAAAATTCAAATACCATCGATAACAATTTATATTTATAATATCCGCCTATTTAGGCGGGCCTTATCTAGTTTAAGATAAAGAGTGTTGGATAGAGTTAGTGAGAATGTTTATAAATAATGAAAGACAAGATGATAAAATTTCATCTGAACTGCCTCCAAATGCTCCAAGAAAAAATGAAGATGGCTTTTACACTAAAACTGACGCACCGGCTCCACCGATGTACGGTAAAAAAAACCTATTTTTTTTTTTTTACGAAAGCTCCTTAGATTTTACAAAACCTAATAATATTATTGTATTAATATTAAAAGTGCATATTGCTGATATAATAGTTTCATCTTGATAAATATATTTTCTTAATTATTTATATGAAAACTAACATGGAAAGTGAAGTAAACTACATGAAGCAAAACAATGAACAAGGTGAACATGATTACATGAATTAAAAAGGACAACAAAGCAAAAAATTTAATTTTGTTGTTGTTGTTGTTTTCATACCCTACAAACACCGTGTTGGATATCCATAGTCCACCACGATGTAGGAATTGTCTTGAACGTGGAGATCTTAGGTACCTCAGTTTCTTATGCTGGGTTGATTTTTCTCTTGTACACAAAAATTGTGCAAAGACATGGTTCACACTACAAAACAACAGGTAATTAGCAAAATATTTTTTATTAAATCCTATATATATATATATAGCTATATATATATATATGTTACATGATTACAAATTATTTTTTATTTAATTATAGGATATGCGAAATTTGCAGCATAGAAACTGCGAATCTCGAAGACATTGTTGAAGTTCGATGTCGGCCTACCTGACGGTTGTTCTTATTTTTGTTTTACACTTTTGTAAATTTTCTCTTCTTTTTTCTGTTTCTTTTTTTTTCTGCTGTTTCATTTTCGTATTTTGAGTGTTGAGTGATGTGATGTGAAAACTAATTGGATCAATCGTTACCAATTTCTACAATGTAAAGTAACAGTCGTTACCTATCGACCATTTGATCCGTGGGATAATTGTCTCTCTTTTTTTTGTTTTTTTGCGTGATGTTACATATTTTATTTATATATTAAAGTTATATAATTTCAGTTTGTAGTGTTTGTATGGAATAAAGTAATGGGTTGAAATGATTATCGATATGATTGTTTTTTTTGTTGATAAGTCCCTCGCCCCCGAAATTGAAAGGTGTTCTAAATGTTTTAGTTCAAAATTAATGATATCAATATAGTTTATCATGATTTTTTTTCCAAAATATCAAATTAATTTCTTTTCAATGCATTTATGATTTGTCTTTTAGTAGAATATATTAATACATTGTAATTTTTGAAAAACTGATAAGAGAGAAGAAAAGCAAAATTGACAAAAAAAAATATAAGGAAAATATAAGAAAACCATAAGCAAAATATAAGAAAATATAAATAAAAATGATGAAGGATAAAATAATTTACATAATTTACAAAAACATATATGTAATTTTAGGTTTTGGATTGGTCTAAAAGGATTTTACTAACGGAGACATGACTTCAATGATCATAGTGGACAACAGGAAAAAAGTAATTTCTATACGCAATTTAAGTGTTTAAAATGAGGGAGACTCACAAAAATGCCTCTTTTTCAATACCCCTTTTCAAAAATGCCCCCTTTGGATGTCCATTTTAAAAAATACCCCTTTTTATGTACAAAATGACTAAATTACCCTTCTTTTAATAAAAGATATCACAAATATATAAGGAAATATAACAAAATTAGGTCCACAAAATACAAAATATTTTTTGGCGGGAAAAGTGATCCCGCAATTTTTCCCGCCAAAACACTTGTAAAAACTTGTAAAACCTTTAAAATACCTTGTAAAATTTTCCCGTAAAATTTTTTCCCGCCAAAAAAAACTTTTTGCGGGAAAAGTGATTCCGCAATTTTTTTGGCGTTAAATTTTTGGCGGGAAAAATTTACAAGGTATTTTAAAGGTTTTTTACAGGGTATTTATAAGGTTTTACAATGTATTTTAAAAGGTTTTACAACGTATTTATAAGGTATTTATAAGATATTATAAGATTTTACAAGCTATTTTATAAGGTTTTACAAGTTTTTTATAAGGTTTTACAAGTTATAAATACCTTATAAGTACCTTGTAAAACCTTTTAAAATACATTGTAAAACCTTACAAAACACTTGTAAATACTCTGTAAAAAACCTTTAAAATACCTTGTAAATTTTTTCCGCCAAAAATTTTCTCGCCAAAAAAATTACGGAATCACTTTTCCCGCAAAAAAAATTTTTGGCGGGAAAATTTTTTGGCGGGAAAAATTTTTACGGGAAAATTTTACAAGGTATTTTAAAGGTTTTTACAAGTGTTTTGGCGGGAAAATTGCGGGATCACTTTTCCCGCCAAAATATATTTTGTATTTTGTGGACCTAATTTTGTTTCAAATAAGGGTAAAATGGTCATTAAAAATTAAAAGAGGGCAAACTTAAAAATGGACTCTCAAAGGGGGCATTTTTGAAAAGGGGTATTGAAAAAGGGGCATTTTTAACAATTTCTCTTAAAATGACTAGATAGATTATCAACATTATCGTTGCGTTGCATTATTTATTTGGTAATTCCTTTCTGCTTTCTGTTATTGTTTGGAGTAATTGCCAACCACAAATATATATATATATATATATATATGATTTAGTTGTTAAAATCTAATATAAATGGAAAAATAAACACTGGTTTTTTATATATTTTTTTTACAGCGTTTT